TTTAAAAAAAAAAAAAAAAGTTGAAGGCATACAGTAGGAAAAGGAAGAAGCAAACTGTCTTTATAGCATAAGGCATGATCTTATATGTATAAATTTATAAGGAATCTAGAAAAAACTATTAAAGTTAATGAGCAAGATACAAGCTTGTGGGATACAAGAGCAATATAAAAATTCAATTGTATTTCTATCTATTAACAACAGACAATCTGAAAGTGAAATTAAGAAAACAATTCCACTCAAAATTATTTAAATCTAATAAAAATACTTAGCAACACATTTAATAAAAAATTTATATAACCTGTACATGGAAAACTATAAAACACTGCTGAGAGAAATCAAGAAGAATCTATACAAATGGAGAAAAATACCATGTTTATGGACTAGAAGACTTAATATTGTTAAGATGGCACATCTCACCAAACTTATCTATAGACTCAATGTGATTCCTTTCAAAATCCTAGCAAGCTTTTCCATGGAAATTGACAAGCTGATCCTAAAATTTACAGTGGAAAGGACTTAGAATAGCCAAAACAATTTGGAGGACTTACACTATCTGATTTCAAAATTTACTATGAAACTACAAAATCAAGACTACGGTTTTGGCTTAAACATAGACATATTGACCAACTGAATAGAATAGGGAGTCTAGAAACAAACCCATATATTTATGGTCAATTGATTTCTGACAATGGTTCCAAGGCAATTCTATGAAGAAAATATTATTTCTCAACAAATGGTAACCATTGGATATCCATATGCAATAAAAATTAACTTAGACCTCTACCTCACAGCACACACAAAAATTAACTCAAAATGCATCTATGTAAGAGCTAAAACTATATACCTTCTAGAAGAAAAGATTGAAGGCAATCTTTTTAATGTTAGCATAGGCAAAAATTTCTAAATATGACACCCAAAGCACAATCCATAAAAAATTAACAAATTAGATTTTTGTCAAAATTTGAGTTTTGTTTTTCAAAAGACACCGTTAAGAAAATAAAGAGGAGTCACAGACTCTGAGAAAATATCTGCACATCATTTATTTTATAAAAGCCTTGTAGCCAGAATAAAGAACTCTTACAACTCATTAGTAAGAAGACAAGTCCATTAAAAAAGAGGCAAAAGAATTTAATAAACATCTCATTAAGAAGACATATGAATGGCTAATAAGGAATGCAAACATGCACAATATCATTAGCCATTAGGGAAATAGTAATTAAAACTACAATGTGATACTACTATATACCCACTAGAATGACTATAATCAAAAAGATTGCTGATACTAAGTTTTGGTAAGGATACAGAGAAACTGGAATCCTCATACAGTGCTGGCGGGCTTGTAAAGCAGTACAACCACTTTGGAAAACAGTTTGGCAGTTTCATACAAAGCTAAACACATACTTATGATATGACCCAACACTTCACTACTGGGTATTTAACCTAGAGAAATGGAAATATGTGTCCACAAAAAGATTTGTATGAAAAAGTTCATAGCAGCATTATTTATGATAGATAAAAATTAGAAATAATCCAAATGTCCATCAGCTGGTACATGGATAAAGAAAATAAGGTATATTCTTACAATGGAATACTACTGAGCAATAAAAATGAAGAAACAACTGATACACACTATAACATGGATGAATCTTAAGTGCATTATGCTGTGCAAAGGAAGCCAGAGACAAAAGACTGCATAGTGTATGACTCCATGTATCTGAAATTTCTAGAAAAGGCAAAACCATAAAGACAGAAAGCAGATCAAAGATTGCTAAGGGCTAGGGATGGGAGAGGGGATTGATTGCATTTGGGCACAAAGGAACTTTGTGGAGTGACGAAAGTATTCTAAAACTAGATTGTGGGCCGGCCCCGTGGCTTGGTGGTTAAGTGCACGCGCTCCTCTGCTGGCGGCCTGGGTTCAGATCCCGGGCGCGCACTGACGCAACGCTTCTCTGGCCATGCTGAGGCCATGTCCCACATACAGCAACTAGAAGGATGTGCAGCTATGACATACAACTATCTGCTGGGGCTTTGGGGGAAAAAATAAAAAATAAAATTATTAAAAAAAACAACTGGATTGTGGAGATGGTTGTAAAATTGTATAAGTGTACTAAAAAATCATCAAACTGTACACTTACCATGGGTGAGTTTTTTAAAAAAGATGCAATACAAATTATCTGTTCCTTAGTGGGTTTATTGGACCCCTTTTCATTATATTATTTCATTAAGGCACTTTAAGGTAACCAAACATTTTGACCTTCAGTTATAGGTACTACTAATAATATATTTGGATTAATGATGTTTTTATAAAATAAGTATTTTTGTAATTAATTTGTGAACAAATAAACAAACAATTTTTTAAATGTAAGGAATCAAATAACGAAAGATAATTTTTAATAATTTAGATTTTTTTGTAAAAAGTTACTGGGCTGAGATATGTATATAACTATATTTTCCCTGAGAATTTAAATAAAATTCTCTCTATTATATTTTTCATTTTCTTAAAGTTCTGTGTAACAACAAAAAGTAATTTGATAATAAAAACTACCTTCTGGAAATTTCTATAAAAGTTATTTTCTCCAGTGATTATCCATATTTTGAAATTATTGGTGTAAAAATATTGCATTTTATTACTATCCACCAATAATTAAACGTTAAAGGAAATAAGATCTTGATTGGAAATGGCTAGATACCATGTGGTTACAGTCTGCATTATGCATTTTAAAACCAGGATATGCAGTAACTTTAAAAAAGAAGCCCTGCTTATGAAAATGATGTTTTTAATGGATAGGAAATAATTTAACTGTTAATAAGAGACACTGATGGGAATTCCTGAGAGGTCTTAGGAGGATACTTCCTGAAAAGTGCCTGAAATGGACAAGTCCAGCAAAAGATAAAAGAACATAATAATATTTCAATCTCTTTGTTTTCATAAGCAGAAAGTAGGGGGAAAAGGTCCGATCTATAACACCAGCCATCTTTATTTTTCAGTGTTAAAACAGGAGAGGACAAATTAAAAAGAATATGTGATTTGGGGGATGAAAAAGGGGTACAGAAGCAAAAATGCAGAAGGTATCATTCTGTAGAGATTCCGTGCTGGCAGCTAAAGCCAGTGAATATTACACAGGAGGAGTGTTGGCCTCCTGTGACCCTCCTCCCAGCACCCAATTTACCCCTGGAATTCCCTGACCCCCACATTTCTCTCTAAGACCAACACAGCCAACTGATGCTTGCCACCATGACATGCCCTCTGCCCAGCTTCCAGACTTCTCTTTATTCTTTGTTTGCCTTAGTGACCCTTTTCAGCTAAGTGTTAGGAGAAAAGCAATTGACCTAGTAATTGATGATAACAAAAATCTTAATATTCTTATGAAGCGTTTCCTTTTTAAAAGAAAGACCTAATATATGGAAAATTCCAGGTGGATAGCAGTGACTCAAAGTTATTCTCTTTCCCTTTCCCTCTGCTTCTTTTCTTCATTGGTTTTTCCAAAGACATTACCTACCTCAACCAAATAATAGCAAGGTATGCAGCCGATCCCTGTTCTGTACTCCTGAATGCGGATGATGATGGGAAAACTGAGCAGGTGGTGAAGTTGAACGTGGTATCTGTCGCCAAGCTTTCAGCAGGCCACATTCATAGTCTGATGACTGGTGATAACTTCAATATCATCCTTCCAAGGAATTCCATTCCAGGGGTGGAACTGACATGGATATGGCAACCTGACATATCTACTGGAAGATCTGGGGGACCTTCCCATAGTTCCTCAATATCATCGTGACCATTCTACCTACCCTTGAGTTTAGCCCAGTGTGGCCACTAGGTCAGGCAGCCCACAAACATTTATTTAGTGCTGGCTCTATACCAGGTCCTGGATCTACACGGGTCTTGCGTTAGGCGCTGGAATATGACAATCTAGGGCCTTAAAAGAGCAGACAGATCGTCCAAACAGAAGACAGTAAAAGCTAAGTTCTATACTGTGCAAAGTGTCATTAGCTTTGGAAGGAAGTTTTTTGCTTTCTAACCCTGTGGCCTAAACATAGTGGCAACAGGTTCAGAGGTTCCATTGTCCCTACATAAATGTGAACTAGCCTCTCCAGCTGAGAGGAGATGGCTTCCACGCAACAATTTACACCTATGCTGTTGATTAAGAAAAACGTAGCAACACAGGTCCGTGAAGATAAGCCTTTCAAAGCCGAGGGTAAACAAGCCCACACCGGTCAATACGACTAACCTTCAACGCAACAGTCCTTTTATTAGCCATGCTGAGACACCAAACCCCTAGGGGCTTAGTATTGTCATCCACAGGAAACGGGAACTGAGGTTCAAAGCGCACTGGCCTACTAGCTCAGACCCGCGCTAGGCTTTAATCATTCTCCCTTTTCTTTTGGAAAGAGAAGTTTTTCTAAATACCTTATTTCCAAATCAAAGAGGCTTCTAAAATGAAGTGGACTTGGGAAACCCAGACCCAGCGGTTTTTAGCTGGGGGAAAAAATCCTGAAGAGTAAAAATCTTCCGAATATACCCAGTTATTCCCTCTCCCTCTCCCTCTTTGGTTGTGGGCAAGGATGGAGGGGAGGAGCTCTTAGGGTTTTTATTATAAAAGATTCCAGATTCCCTGGAACCACCCTGACCTGATACCTAGAGTCTCGGGGTGCGCTGCTGCAGCTGCAGCCCAGACAAGCAAGTCGTGCTCACCGCCTAAAGCGGGGAGGCCCCTCGCCGCGCGGGGACGCGAGGTCTGCGTCCTTGCCTCCTCCCTGCGCCCCTCCCACTTCCCGCGCGACAAGTAGCTTAGGCAGGGACTCCTTCCAGAAGTTCTCCCGGCCTCATGCAAAGCAAGTTTTTCGCACCCCGGAAAGTGCGCGGTGCAGAAGCGCTCGGAGCTCGGGACTCGGGCGCGGACCCGGGCGGCACCCCGGCCCCCGGCGCCCGCTCAGCGCGCTCTCTCGCCCCAGGTGCCCGCGCACGTGGGGAGCAGCTGGAGGAGTCCGGGGTGGGGTCAATGAAGCGCGGCCTGAGGAAGATGCTGCGCCTCGGGGAGAAGAAGGAGCCCCAGGGCGTTGTCTACCAGGGCGTGGAGGACGACATGGACGACTCCAGGGACTCCTTTAAGGTACCCGGGGCGATCGGGAGGGGTCCCCCAGTCCGGGCGGGGGTCGGCTCGTCTGAACTTTGCGCTCCGGGGTGCGAGCTTTCCCAGCGGGCAGCCCCGGGATGGGAGGGCAGGAAGGGCAGCGAGATGAGGGCTGCTTGCTTCGGGGCGTGTGTGCGGTGCAAGAGGGGACCCGCCCAGAATGCGGGGAGCTGCGGGGCCGCCTTCATCAGTGCCTGCTTGATCTTTCTGTTTGCTTGTTTGTTCACCCTGTTCTTGCGCGTGGATGGGCAACTGCAGCCTAGGGAGACCTACCCAGAAAGCACCCTCGGCATTTGGCAGAATTAGCAACTGCCTAAAATCAAGACAGTTTTGGGGTGTGTGCTGTTTCGCTTGACCCTTTTGTAGCTAAGAACCAGTTAAATGGCTGTATCTGGTAGTTGCATGGCTACTCAAGAGGTGCGGTGGGGTTGGGAAGCGTTCTTGTCTCCTGGAGTGAAACAGAGAAACCAGCGCCTGCGTTGATGGAAGCGTTACAGGGAATGGCAGGACTGGTAAATTCCTGCAGGGAATGCGGGCGTTGGGAAAGACTCTGTGGAGGAAGAGACCCTTTGAATATGGGTAGGTGGTCTCCCCGGAGCTCCTAAGGGCTAGGATGGAGCTTCTATTTCTTAGGCAGTTCCTGGGACATTCTCACCCAGAGGCAGCACTACCTACCACTACCGTCTGAGGGCAGAGGCTGTTGCGTGCTCAGAAAGCCCGCCGGTGGGTTTCTTCACGTTGCCAGCAGGAGGAAGGGTCTCTTAAACGTTAAAATATCATTAAAAGTGTTTCTCCAAACCCCCACTATAGATCCCTTTCCACAGTGGAACCGTTACGGTTCCTTATGTATTTTCCAGGGGAAAAAATGCCTATAAAAATACACGTTCGTATATGTTTTTTATTTACAAAATATGAAGTCACAGAGATTTGCACTTTGATTTACTCACGAAATACATTCTAGAATACTTTTCAAATCAGCACCTGGAGGTGTACCTCACTCTTTTTAGCAACTTCATAGTATTCTTTTGTATGAATGTGTTATGATTTATTTAACCAGTCCTGCATCAATGGACACTTAGGTTGTGTTTTTGTTTTGTTTTGCTATTACACACGTGATTGAGTGTGTCTGTGAGTGTGGATGTGGCTTCATCTGTCTGTCCACTGGTACCTTAGTGACTATGTATGTATGTTAAAGTCCTACCGGGGTCGAGAGGTATATATAGCTTTAATTTTGGTAGAAATTGCCAAATTGCCCTCTAAACAAGTTTCATGAATTGACACTGTTGTCTGTCATGTGTGTGAGTCAGGCATGTGTAGTAAATCACATAAACCAACAAACCAGGCATCCCAAGGTGAGTCTATTTGCACATCCAGATTAAACACTGACTTTTTTTCTCCTACTTAGTATTAGCATATTAACCAAAGTCTTTTGGCTTAACCCAAAGAACTAAGGTCATGAGTGGGTTTCAAACACTCAGATAGTGTCTTTAGAATTAATATTATGAGACAGGAAGAAATTTTAAAATTTTGAAAATCACACCAGAAATGTGTCCTTTACTTACTGATGTTGTTTTGTTTTCTAGAGATATTTGCTGAAAGATATCTACAGCACAAAGTCTCAAACTTATTTTTCTTCACATTTTAGTTTAACTGTCTTTATTTAGTTTCATTGCCTAAGTCAAATAAAGCCATTTATGTTATTTAAGCCTTTTAGAAGCCACAGTAGAGCTCGTAGATTGAGGGATTTATATATTTTCTTTTATTACCTGCAGTACTTCCAGATCATTCTGTAGAAATCTCAGTGGTGAGACTCATTGCAAATCAATACGTATAACACCGTGGAGAGTTGTGAACTCTAAGGATTTCCTGGTTAAAAAGATAAGGTGTATAGTATTTTGTCTAGAACACACATACTATCTCAAGAATACTAACAAGATTGAAGGATTGAGAAAACTTAGAAGATGAGAAATGTGGAAAAAGAACCGTCTAACTGATGCCTTTAGCTTTTTCCAGTGACTTCCTGTGAAAGGAGTTAATACTTTAGCATTTGACCTCTCATTTGTTATAATCTCATTACTTTCCCTCTTTTTTGCCCCATTCCTGCTTACATGCATGTCATTAAAGCAACCTAAAACAAATGTATTTGATATCTCCATTTAAAAAGGCTTAGTTAGAATGAGCTTCTTTAAAAGTGATGTAGTCTATTATGTTCTGTGTCTAGTGATATAGTTCAGAATGCAAAAGAATCCGAAGTGACCCTGTGATAGTAGAACACTACGTAGAATGAGTATATAATAATTTGTCTAAATGACACCCTTGGCTTACTTTCAGAGCTTTCTTAAGAAACCTTTTCAAAACCTGATGTACCAGGTCATGTACTCTTTAGTTTCAGACTGTTGAGCACATCTGATGAGCTTGTACGAAGTATTTAGATGCTCTTTTGTCATTGTGAATTCAGCAGCACCTTGTGAGCATCTGAAACTAGTACTTGCTCCCAAGAGTGTGTAGTTGGGTTTGGGTTGACAGCACATCACTGGACAGACCTATACATTGCGCTTTCTGTCACTGTGGGGTATGCGATACAATCCCTTTATTATCACTGGAAGAACAAATCAAATTCAAGAGCTAAAATACTTCCAAATGAATTTAGGTAAACAATTTCTTTGACAGGGTGAGACATTGAGAAAGAGCCTCAATATCTGTAAGAAGCTCATTTTTTAATCTATTCCTGAATATGTGTAAATTTGGAAATGGTTGTATGTTCATTGTCATATCCTGCCTTCATCAAAGCTATATGTAGCCTATATAGACTTTTGTTGTTGAAAAGTGACACATCTCCATTTAAGGGACCGCCATAGAGAAGTGATTTCTTAGGTGCTATTCTATGATAACAGAGCAAAAGCCAAAGTTCAAAATTTTAAGATTTTGTTTTATTTATGTTAACTTGACATTTACTGAATGAATCCTAATATACTCAATTCTTTATTCACTGTATTAAAATACATTAAATACTGTAACACTTCATTTTATTTCGTGATCACTTTTAATTTCAGTAGTGAGAAATGCTCTGGTTATCTTTAAACTAACAAATTAGTGTTTTTGACACATGTATTATCGTGTGTAAAATGTGACCAGTCACAGTCAAAGGTAGAGTTAAAGCAAGTGCCTGGATCATTTGTTTGGGGGAGGTTTCTGCATTTTCAGAAAATAGTCATTTTACAATGGATTCCATGATAAGCTACTGTCTTGTAGAACATTTTGCTTTTGGTCCATGGGATGAAATATTTGCTAAGAAATAGCTTTGGAAAAATTTCAGACAGATGTATTATTTAATCATGTATTTGCAAAGCTGGAAGAAACATCGAGAGGTAATTTTAGTCTACATATTGCCATAGGATTGTAATGAGGTTCCATTAATTTTTCCCATTTATTTTTTAAGCCTCTAGGGAATTAAAATTCACCAAACAGGTCAGGGAAGTTCTAGTGTGTGTAATAGTCCCTATGGCCTCACCTGCTGCTCTGTAAGGCCTCTGGATTTTCCTTCTTTCCTTCTTGCACTCTCTCTTTCTGGAAAAATTATTTACATACCTGCAAGTCTCATGAAAAATAAGTATAAAAGTGTGTAGCAGGCATTTCATGTAGACAGTGTGAGGTGAGAACTAGAGAGTGTTTCTCAAACTTTTTTTTGTGTCAGGACCTCTTTAAACTTAATATTGAGGATTCCAAAGAATGCTTGTTTATGGGGTTATAGCTGCCAATATTTACTATATTAGAGGTTAAAGTGGGGAAAAATTTAAAAGCATGAGAATACATAGCACACATTTTGGTAAGCGTCAGCTCCGTGATGTCACCACACGTCTTGTGGCCTCTGGAAGACTCCAGTGTGCACTCATGAGAGACAGAGAGGCCGGACTAGAGGATGGCGTACTGTGGCTATCACGGAGGCCTTGAGGAGGAGGGAAGATTTAGGACAGCTGCAAGAAGATAGGTGGAGTGGAAACTAGGAGAGAGACAAGGATGCCCATCATCCAAGTGGAAAGCCGGGTAAAGCTGATGCATCACACTAACACGTAGCACAGCAGGTGCTGGAAGGGCCTGGCTTCCGGAGTAGAACACTTGCGTGCAATTCAGGGAAATGCTGGAGTCTGGCTTCAGCCTCAGTTTGGGGCCAAAATCTGCAATTCAGCTTTGGCTTTGGTGACCAAATATCAGAATACCTAATTCAGTGCCATTTCTGGCGTCTCTGAACTGGTGTGTGATCAGTGGTGCTATCATATCTAAACAATGTAAAAATGTTAGCAGTAGAAAGGGTATGTCATTCATATTTATTGATATTACCTAAAGGTTCACTTTCAAATACAGGCAGGAATTCTAGAAGCAACTTTAAATAAAAATCTTGTCGGTTAATTGAAGTATAATTAAATATAACTGTAATTAATGATTTTTAAAATTCTTAATTTTCTGTATGTTAAGAATTTTCAAGTAGTTGAATAGAGAACTAGATTGTCAGTTAATATGGATATTAAGAGAGGATGCGTTAGTTAATTTTAGGAAGAACAGAATATACTTTTTGGTCCAAAATATTTATAAGAACTTAAGTAATAATGCAAGGCAGGATAATAGAAGCAAATTTATGACAGGAAGGCTTTTGTAAAATTTTGTTTACTGTAGTAACATTAATAACATTAAATAAAATAATTTTTAAAGCTTTATTTTATTTTTAGTGAGTTTATTCCATTTAGGCCATGAGCTTTTCAAGAAAAAGTCCTCTTTTAGAATTTTTCATATTGTGTGGGAATGAATCAAAAGCAGAATGTCAACACTGTCACCTCAGAATTTCACCAGGAGGAAGCCCCATGTCATCCATGAGCAGTCGTCTTCAGTCCAGGCATAATCAAGATTATAAAGAGCATGAAGAAGAAAAAGAAGTGTTAGAGAAAAATAAGATAGTCAGAAAAGCTCTTGTTCCTCCAGTGACATTAGTGGAAGTGAGCATCTGTTGGAATGACACTTTTGCAGGCCGGTGACAGCAGCCAACTGGGCCAAAACTTATTAAGCCTGCCCTACAAAGTCTCTTCCTCTGCTTTATAGTATCTTATTCTATCACATAGTTTATTCTATAATGATGGTTTTGACCTCAGCTTCAGCTTCTGCTGTATGTTGGTTTTTAGCATTCTTCAGTCAGCCAAAATATGTATTCCACGCACCTCCTGTTCAAATTCTGACTTTGCCACTTACTGTGTGCCTTTGGGCGAATGACATAACCTCTCAGTGTCCTGATATCTGGCCCTGAGTAAATGCACAGTAATGCTGGCATTTCCTGTGTGCAGAGAGCAATGAGGGGCGACCCTGACCTAACTTGGCCTGGTGCAGGATTCCAGTAGTCAAAACGGGAGGAATTATTCCTTCTTGGGGGTGAGTGGGCAGCCATTCTAGAGTGTGGATCAAGTGAATTAGGTGACAGTGCTTCGGTATGATTCTAGCTCCGGTATATAAGGAAACATTGGGTGGGAATTGACTGTTGGCAGGAGGGCCAAAGAGAGAACACTAATTTAGATTCCTAGACTTAATCCTTGCATTCTTGAAAATCTTTTTATCTAACCAAAATCCCTTGTGCTGTAGTTTAAGTACATTTTCACCCGACAAAGAAAATTCCTCTTTATTTTTGCTATACTTATTATTTCTCAGATCACGTCCTTACATTTACTTCAAAACTTTTCTCAAGGCCTTTATTCCTACAGCATATATGAGTTTATGATCAGAAAATCAAATCATTTATTTAATGTACTTATCAGTGTTTAGGCATTTGCTCGTACCTTCTATATGTCTGTAAGTATTTTGTGTTTTTCAAAAAAAATATTTACTTTATTGTAAGTGTGATAAATAGTTTTGGATGATAACTTTTTAACGATTAACTTATATTGATAAGTTTTACATACACTTGTTTGAGGCAATAATTTTTTATATGCTTCTAGGTGGTTTGTGAAAGAAGTACATGTAGATTACAAAACTTTGTGAAGAAACCAAAGAAATTAAGGAAATATGATGATATGAATGCCTCCCCTTTGCATCATGCTGCAGAAGAGGGTCGGGTAGAATTGATGGAGATGATCATCAATGACTCCTCCTGTGAAGGTAACAAAATGTTACAATGAGTGCTCCATAAATCCATCATCCCATTAGATTCACTGGGAAGAGTGGTAGGAAGTGATTCT